GAAAAGGGGAGTGAGCCCCACATTCCTTTTCTTACTTTGGGGATGAGGATTTGTCTGCAGCCTGCAGATATTCCCTAGGACAGACAGGGCTAGGTAGATCTGTGGGGATGGGCCAAGATCAGAGATACAGGAGATTCTGGGAGGAGAATGGTGAAGGGATCATCTAAAGCTGTGCCCAGTTAAGCTGGAGTCCTTCAGACCCTTGGAAGATTTCTTCTCCTGCTGTGACTCCTGAACATCCTCCTGGGGCTGGAAGACGCTCTTTACAAAAAAAAAAAAAAAAAAAAAAAGGAATGCAGAAAACCCAGCCTACCCCCTGCGAATGAGACATAGAGACAAAAACATGGTTTGAACCTTGCTGCTGAGGTTTCCATGGTGGCTCCACTCTGCTGCCCTTCCCATTGGCTAGGTGTCCTGCTCCAGCTTTAGCAACAGAGGCTCAGATACCCATCTCATTCCTGATTGGCCCGGTGGTGCTGCAGTGCCATGGCAACAGAGGCAGTGGGACCAGTCTCTGCAGAACAGCTTGAGTCACCATCTACCTGGGGTGGGCTGAGATCCAGAGGGCTGCTTGTAGGGGATGGAAAGGGAAATAGGTAGCCCCCAGCTGAGCTCACAGCCAGGTGGGGAGCCCTCTCCCCTGGTTTTAAGGGGGGGAGGGTTGGAGGCTGGTGGGCTTCTTTCTCATCTTGTCTATCCTGTATTTTCCTCATTTTCCCAGCTCTTCTCTTACCCCTGAGCTTCTGTGGCTACTAGAAGAAAAACTAAACCTCTGGCAGTGCTAGAGGTCAACTCATTTTGCCCAAAGTCATGCAAGTGGCAAGCCAGGATTTGAACCCCTAGTATATTGCCTGACTTAAAGGCTTTAGAGGGTTTTTGCTAGAGAATCCAGGGGTTCTTTCAGTTTTAATAGCTATTCCCTCTTTATTTGTCAAACAAATCCCTTTCAAAGCACTCTTTGAAAACCATCTCACTATTTCATCATCTCAACAACCCAATGAGTTTGGTAAGGAAGAGATGAATGACCCAATTTATAGACTGAAGACACTGGAGCCCAGAGAGGGTAAGTGATTTGTTTCTTGACACACAGCACGTCAGTGCCAGAACTGGGGCTCTAACTCAGGCCTTCTGAATCTTTGTCAGGGCTGTACCTCCAAACCATTGAACATACCATGGGGCCTCCAGAAAGGCTGGAGAGCTGCTCCTGAGGGGTTTTCTCATCTGTTAGAGAAGCCAGTTAGAATCAGGCACTCCAGTGTGGACAGAGGTTTCTCACTCAGACCCTAACCCCAGCCAGGAAATTCCTAAATGTAACCCTGGTTCCTGGGAAGGGTCCATGTTTAACTGCAAATCTTGCTCCCTCTAAGCCCCTGTACACTGAAGAATACTCATCAGCTTAACTACAGTCAATGTTGCTGTTTCTGTGTGCTTGAAGCTGTTCTGAGAATCACGTTCTCACTGAATTCTCATTACAACCTTAGGAGTTTGGCTTTCATTGTCCACTGTTTATAGACACAGAAATTGGTGCTTGGGAAGGTGAAGCAACACGCACAAGGGCACACAGTCATGGAGTCAGAATATCAACATGAAGTTTACTGACTTGAAAGCAGCTTGGCTTGGACCACAGTGATGCTCTCTCTGCTCCCACAAGATGCAGAATGGTATAGCTCCAAGATGCAGCTCTTGGAGTTGATTTGTTTGCTCTTGGGTATACCCTTTTTTTTTTTTTTTTACTCTACTGGGCGGATCAATTTCTTGGTACTGGAAAAAGCAGACTCTGAGGGACTTGGAAGTAGTTGGCCCCTCAGAAAGTGACTCAATGTCCCTAACATTGTCTCCCATTGCCCAGTTGCTTCACATGCTGATCTTACAGGAGGGTGTGGCTGGGCTTCTGGGGATCAGCAGCTGATAGGAAGAGAGATGCCTCAGTGACTTTCCTTTGTGTGAGTCCGAGTCCCTGCTGAAAATGACAGCCTGGCTGTTTCTCTTCCTTCTTGTTCAACTTGGGATCCCTGAAGCTCTTCCTCCTGAAACAGAGCCCAGCCACCTGACCTGTCCTCCTGTGCTCCCAAAGGCACTGGTTTTATTTTTTATTTTTTTTCAGATACAGTCTCACTTTGTTGCCCTCAGTAGAGTGCTGTAGCGTCATAGCTCACAGCAACTTCAAACTCTTGGGCTCAGGTGATTCTCTTGCCTTAGTCTCCCGAGTAGCTGGGACTATAGGCGCCCACCACAACACCTGGCTATTTTTAGAGATGGGGGTCTCACTCTTGCTCAGGCTGGGTCTCAAACTCCTGAGCTCAGGTGATCACCTGCCTCAGCCTTCCACAGTGCTAGGATTACAGGTGTGAACCACCGCGCCCAGCCCCTAGGGCACTGGTTTTAGAAGATGTGCCCTGGTGGGAGCTCACACCTGCCCTGTGTCACACCAGCAAGCAGCAGGCATTCAATTTCTCCACAGAGTTTGCAGCTTCTTGCCTGTGCCAGACACCACACAGGTGCTAGTGAGATGGAGATGAATATTAAGTCCACGAGTGAATAAATCAGTGGTTCTCAACCTTCTTAATGCTACGATGTATTTTCATTGTTACAAAGGGGTCATGACCCACAGGTTGAGAACCACTGGAATAAATCATCATTTCATTTTATTTATAACTAACTTTCTCTCTCTCTCTCTCTTTTTTTCTCTTTCTTTCTTTGAGACAGAGTCTCACTCTGTGGCCTGAGTAGAGTGCTGTGGTGTCATAAGTCATAAAAACCTCACACTCCTGGGTTCAAGTGATCTGCCTGCCTCAGGCCCCCGAGTAGCTGGGACTACAGGCGCCCACACAATGCCTAGCTAATTTTTCTACTTTTAGTAGAGACTGGAGTCTTGCTCTTGCTCAGGCTGGTCTTGAACTCCTGAGCTCAAGTAATCCTCCTGCCTGGGCCTCCCAGAGTGCTAGGATTGCAGGCAAGAGCCACTGAACTTGGGCTAAATAATGATTTCAGATAGTGTAAATGCCTTGGCCAGGCTGAAACAAAAAATGGGATAAACAACAGCTGGCGGGTGGGGTGGGTTTTGGGGTTGGGATGTGGAGTGCTATTTTAGCCAGAACAACTAAGAAAGTTCTCTCTGAGGAGATGACATTGGAGCAGACACCTGAGTGAGAAAGAGGCAGTTGGCTCTGCGCCTATGGCTCAACCGGCTAAGGCGCCAGCCACATACACCTAAGGTAGCGGGTTCGAATCCCCAGCCCGGACCCGCCAAACAACAATGACGGCTGCAACCAAAAAATAGCCGGGCGTTGTGGCGGGCGCCTGTGGTCCCAGCTACTTGGGAGGCGGAGGCAGGAGACTCGCTTGAGCCCAGGAACTGGAGGTTGCTGTGAGCTATAATGCCACGGCACTCTGCCCAGGGGGACAGCTTGAGGCTCTGTCTCAAAAAAAAAAAAAAAAAAAAAAGAGAAAGAGGCAGTTGTATGTTATGTTTGGCCATGTAACAAACCCCCAAAGTTAGTGGCTTACAGTAACCAATCATTATTTCTCATGAGTTTGTGGTTGGCCTGGGTGGGTCCTCAGTCATATATGTGGCCGCCTTTATCTGGAGACACAGCTGGACTGGAAGGTCCAAGAAAGCCTTGTTCACACATCTGGCAGTTGGTACTAGCTGTTGGCTGGGGAACTTCAGCTCCATGTTACATCACCTCTTATCCTCCAGTTGGCTAGAGTGGTTGCCTCATGTGGTGGTCTAGGAGCAGTGTTCCAAGAGAGTGAAGGCAGACGTTTGCAAGGTCTCTTGAAGCCTAAGCTTTCAAACTCATAAAGGGTCATGTCCCCATTACATTCTCCTGTCAAAGCAAGTCACAGGCCAGCCTGGACTCAAGGGTTGGAGAAAGAGACAGACACATTGTTTCTTAATGGGAGGAAGCAGCAAAGTATTTATGACCATCTTTAACCTGCCAGATTATGCATGTGAAGATCTTTGGGAAGCACATGAGGTTGGATGGAGTTGAGTGACTGAGCCTTGAACAACAGATTCCTCCACTGTCATGGTTTCCTCTTCAGTAAAGTGAGAACTAAGGATGCTTCCCTTCCTTTATAGGGATATAAGATTTGAGATGCTAGGCCTCAGGGCAGGGTTAGGATTTCAGTTATTGGCGAGATAACTTGGGAGGAGAATCAAATACAGGAGCTTGGTTTGGCTTCCCCTAAGCTCACGAGTGTTTATTGAGCACGGTCTGGTAGGAAAGCACTGTGTCAGCCCCACAGTCACAGAGAAGAGTCTCAGGGTTGCTGACATTGCTGAGCTGATGAGATGAAAGGATCGCTCACCATGCCAGCTGTGACTGAGACATGCCAGGTCCCTCTCAGAAGGTGAAGGGAGAAGGGACTCAGTATTTGGGGAGGTCCTGTTATGTGTTAAGTTAGGTCCACTGTCTGCATCATTTGTCTCATTTAATCCTCTCATCAGAGCCACAAGGCCAGTCTTAGCCCCATTTCATAGACAAGGTAGCTGAGGCTCAGCAGTCCAGCTGCTGCCCTGGTCACACAGCCGGGCAGGGCAAACCTGGAGTGGAGTCCAGATCTGGCTGGCGCCAGTGCTCCAACCTCCCACTGTCTCCAGGAAACATCCCAGGAGCCCCTAATCCCCCATGTATTCAGTGCATGGGCTCAGTCAGCAGTCTTCTTGTCCCCTTGCAAGCTCAGGCTGCCCTGTTCTTCCTGAGTTAAGCCAGGGACTAAAATGGGTCAGTGTAATGCTCATCTGCTGGGGACCTTACAGTTTATGAAGCCCTTTCCCATCTGTGCCCTCCCCATGACCCCTTGGAGATTCTGCACAGCCCCTCCAGCTCCTGGAGCCTGTGGCTTTGCTGCAGTGAAGGCCACATTAAATATTAACAGGGCCGCTAGCTGCGATGTCAATTACTGGGCCACTTGGTGACGGCTGCAGCTGCCTTTCCAAGGTGAAGCAGTGACCGGAATTCGCTGGCTCGAATGGCATCCCCGGAGGCGGGCTGTCAGGACTGGGAGAAGATGCTGCTAATGTAAGGCATGGCAGGAATCCAAAAGTCTTCCTCTTTCGTCTGATCTCGCCCTCTCTCAGGCTCCATCAGCATCCTGATGCTGGCATGATGCATTCAGTTTACTTGTTTACTAGCTCAGTGCTAGGCTGTGGAGACATAGCTGTGAGTGTGACCAGGTCTTGCATCACAGAGCTCCCTATCTGTTGGAGAAGAGTGAGAAACCCAGCACTGTAGGTTAGGGCAGCTGCCTGCCAAAGGTCCTTCCAAAGGAAGCCAGGGTGTTGCTGAAACCTGAAGAAGGAGCCCAAGTTAGGTAGGAAAAGAGGAGGGGTAAATGTTTCAGGCAGAGAGATAGATTTGGAGGACAGATCCTGGCTCCACCTGTTTCTAGTTGTTTATCTGCAAGTTAGGGTCCCACCTCACAGGGTTACTATGAGGACCAAAGAAGCCATTGCTAGCAGAGCACAGGGCTGGACACATGGTGGCATATGCACAAGGAAAGCTTAGGGGAGGCTGTTATAAAAATTAGCTCTGTGCCTTTATATGATTCCTCTGCACTGCCAGGAATTCTTACCCCCATTTGGTAAACAGAGAAACTAAAGCTCAAATAGGTGACCAGACATGCCCAGGGTTACAATGTGGATTAGGCCCCCGGTTAGATACATGTCCCTAGGTTCTGTCTTGGGCATTTTGCCATAGTCCAGCCACAAACAACCCAAGTACTCCAGCACTCACAGAGATGGCTGTCTGGTGGGATTTCTGTAATATGCAGAAGGCGTAACAGAATTCAATTCAGCATTCATGGAGCAGTGCCTGGCTTCAGGACACTTGGCCAGGAATCCCAGGGGCTCAGGTGATAAACAAAACAGACCCTATCCTTTGCTGCTTACATTCTACAAGGGAAATGGCAACTTTCTGGGAAGTGGGAAGCGGGTGCTATAAGTGACAAAGAACCTTAACTTTATAGTCAGAAAGGCCTGGGAGAGGATACTTCTCTGAGCTTCAGTTGCCCCATCTGTTTAATAAGAGGAATAGTTGTCATGAGGATTCAATGAGATCATATATTACATTAAATGACCTAACACAGTACTCAACACCCTGTGTAGCTGGCCAGTAAATATCAACACTCCTGAGGTCGCTCTGTGCAGATGGCATATACTGCAGTCACAGCAGGAACAAGTGGAAAGTAGGAGTACTTCTTGTTGGAGAAACTGGGAAGGTTCTTTAGAGGAGGTAAGATTTCAGCTGGGTATTAAAGGATTTAAGAAGCAGGGATTGAGGTACAGGGATGAGAAAGGACTTGCTAGAAATCCATGGACAGAATTTGGGACCTGGTGGGTCTAGGATGTCCAGGGAGCAGGTGATAACCTTGGAAAGATGGGCCAGGGTCAGCTTATGAAGGGGCCAGTGGAGGAGCTTGTATGTTTAAATGGGGAAGGTTCCACCTATGACCCCAGGGGCAGGTCAGAGCTGTGTCTGCGCAGGTCAGTCTCCTGGAGATAGCTTTTTCGTGTGGCTTTGTTCCTCCTAGACCCTTTGTTTTCTGAGTCAGGGCCAGCCTCCACCGTTGTCTGGATTCAGAAGACAGAGGGCTGTAACAATCTGCTTGCCTCCTACTAACATATTGGGAAAGAAGAAAAAAAAATGTTGCTTAGCACAGTTTCCTGGCAGGGAACTGTGGTGAAAACTCAGGACTCTCTCCCTCACCCCTAGGGCATGGTAAAGTAGCAGTTGATGATAGTTGTGCTCACAGCTCAAGGACTGAAAGCATATGCTCAGGCTCTCAGGTCAGGGGCAGCAGTGGAAACAATGGTGAAGATGGAGCAGGTGTGGATCCTGGTTCCCACCCACTGCTTTCTGTGCTGTGGTTGGGCAAGATGCTTAACTTCCTTGAACCTCAGTTTCCTCATCTGTGAAATGGAAACAATAACACTGACCTTGCCTTAACCAAGTGAGGGTGTACTGGCCAACTGCTGCCCCCTTCTTCACTCCATGGCTTGACGTGGTGAAACAATTGTCTTTTGAAGCATCCTTATTTTATCCTCTTGGGCTGTCATGTCATCGTCTACTGCTTTTCCAGTGGTGAAATACCCTAGACTTTCAGAGCTGGGGCTGGGGGGAGACTTTGCCATGCACAGTGCAGCCTCTCATTTCACAGGTAAGAAATCAAAGGCTCAGAGGCAAAGTAACAGCATTCTCCAGCTTTCTTGGAGCACAACAGCCCCTTCCACCTGGGCTCACCCAGTGGGTGCCTCGCAGAAGCTTGCAGCAACTATCCAGATGATTCAAGCCAAAGGGTCTAGAAAATTCTCAGACACACAGCTCCCAGATCATCTGCAGAACTAAAAGCAAAAACCTCTTTTGCCCTCATTTCACTGCAATCCTACAGGGGACAGCTTTGCCTTCTCCCTCTGAGCTGAGCTCCTTTGAACAACCTTGAGGTGGGGCAGGTGCTGTAAGTGGGGCTCTGAGTTCCTTGTGGAACCAGCTCCCAGATTGCCATAGTAGGACATTTTCGAGTTTCTTAATACCAAAAGCTGCCTCGGGTGCCCGTCTGCTTCCAAGACAGGCTTTGAAAGAGTGACAGAAGGCTCTGGATGAACCTGAAATCTGTGTGCTCAGGCAGATCTTAAACACTCAATGGGATTTGTATCAGAACACTGGGGTCAGATGACAGAAAAACGGTGTGAGTGGGGAAGTCTTTGGATGACTGCAAGTATACAGGGCATCTGTAAAGTTCACGTTCAGTTTTAAATTGCACACTATTTAATTAATTTATTTATTTTTGGAGACAGAGTCTCACTCAGTCGCCCTTGGTAGGGTGGCATCATAGCTCACAGCAACCTCAAACTCTTGGGCTCAAGCGATCCTCTTGTCTCAGCCTCCCTGGTAGCTGGCACTACAGGCCCCCACTACAATGCCCGGCTATTTTTGTTTGTTTTTTAGTGGCAGGATCTCACTTTTGCTAAGGCTGGTCTTGAACTCCTGAGCTCAGGCAATCCACCCCCCATGGCCTCCCAGAGTGCTGGAATCACAGGTGTGAGCCACTGTGCTTGGCTGTAAATTGCACACTATTTTAAACTGCACACGAACTTTATGGACACCCTGTATATATAATGGGGATAATAACCTCCTTTGAAGTGAGGATTTTTTTGAGATAGAGTCTTGCTATGTTGCCCAGGTTGGTCTTGAACTCCTGGACTCAAGAGATCCTTCCACCTCAGCCTCCTGGGTAGCTGGGATCACAGGCATGTGCCACCACACCTTGCTTCAAGTGAGGATTTGATGAGCTAATATATGCTGGTAAATTGTTTACCCTCTAGCCAGGCAGACAGTGATTAATAAACAAGAGCTGCTCTTAATGCTATTGTTGGTGTTGTTTATTGTCATTGGCTGAGGATCAGGAAGGTCACCTTGGCAGCAGGCAGCCTGCATTGGGGACAAAAAAAATATTAAATTCATATCTGGGTGACACGAATTTGTGGGCTAGTAGCCCCTTCAGCACAACATGGTAACCATGCCAACAGCGTGAATGCCATCTCTCTAGAACAATACTGGGTGTTCTTTGTAATATGTCCCTTTGTGTCCAGACTTCTCAGGCAGTTCAGAGTGTCCCTGAGTATCCCAGGAAAAAAAAAAACCAAAACAACAAAAACCAGGATGTGCCTTTTCTGGGTCACTTATTCACTGGGCTCCGATGGAGGATTCTGTCATTACTTTGGAAATCCAGCCCTGCATGAGGTGCAGTCGTGACTACTAGCTCAGGGTGGGATGCAGGAAAGAATTATTATATATCTGCCTTCCATAGGCCAGCACCAAGCAGGCATAGCACACATGCTGGCTGACCCTCATAACAACCCTGCGACATAGACAGGATGAGTCCCTTTTAAAAAAAAAAACCACGAAGATTTAGTAGGGTCTGGGGTGAGACTTGACATTCTGTATTTCATTCTTTCTTTTTGACATAGGGTCTCATTCTGTCACCCAGGCTGAAGTGCAGTGGCAGGACTCATAGCTCTCTGCAGCCTTGAACCCCTGGGCTCATGGGATCTTCCTACCTCAGCCTCCTGAGTAATTGGGACTACAGCTGGGCCACCATGTCAGCCCTAGTTAGTCCCTTTTGCAAGTAGATTGCTCAAGTGTAGTCAGCTGGCACACTGGCAGGACAGGATTTGAACCTAGTTCCACAACCATGTTCTTTCTCCCATCACACCACACACATACTTAGGAAGCTAAGGGGCTTCTGCTGGGTTCCCTGAATGATAAGCCCTGAACCAGATGAACACACAGATTGGGGCCCTGCCATTAAACACTGGTCCCCTTCACCTCGCTCAAGGGTTCTCTCTGGAGTCGTCAATGGCAATGTTTATTGATGAGACTTATGAGCCCTGTGAGCAGGCTCTGTGGTGTTTGTAGCTGTCTCCCCACAGTGCAAGGAAGATGAGTGCTGGTGAACACAGGCAGGGAGTCACCCTGGGGCAGTGTGAGGCTGTCAGGTTTGGGATTGTGCCAGACTTGGGTATGAATCCCGGCAATGCCCCTTACCAGTTGTGTTACTTTGTTCAAGCCATGGGACATCTCTTAGCCAGTTTCTTCATCTGTAAAATGAGAATGGGAATCCTACCTGCCGCACAGGGGCATCTTGAGGCAAAAAAATACATGCCCATCTCTGTATAAGTTCCTTGCCTGGTGCTGGGAACATGGTAGATGGTTCCTCAAGAGTTGGGGTGGATGAGGTTGCCAGTACAGGGCAGAGTGAGAAGAGGGCCTGGGACAGAGCCCTGAGGAACTCCAGCACTTCAGGGTAGGGTAGAAGACAAGCCACATGGGAGACAGAGAGTAGCAGGTGGAGCAGCAGAGAAGCCAGGAGAGTGCAGGGGCATGAGAGCCGGTCCAGGAGGGGTGAGCAATGGTGCCCAATCTAGCCAGGCAGGCCAGAGAGGTGAGGACTATGACAGAAAGGAGGGTTCTGGTGGCCATGGCAGAAGAGTGGGGACATAGCCAGAGCACACTGGGTGGGGGGAAGGTAAGGAAGTAGAGATGGGGAATTTTGGTGAGTAGCGAAAAAAAGCTTCCAGAGAGGATGATCATTTATGCATGTCAAAACTGATTATTCAGAATGCTTCACCTCTGCTTAATTATCAATTTTGAAACCAATCTCAGTCCATATGATCAGAAAAGCTGGAAGGGTTCTCAGTCCTCAAAGAGCTGGAAGGAGCCGAGGCAGTGTCCCCATCCAGCGCTGGCCCTCCTCTCTCCTCTCACCAGAACCCCATTCTCAAGGAGGATGGTTGGGTGATTAATTACTACCCAGCATGCACATGCTCTTTAAAGAAGACATTCACTAGGGGGAAGATCAGCCTGGTTTGTTAACCTGGATTCCATCAGCAAAGGACTCTCAAAGCATGGCAAAGCCTAGGATAATAGGGCTTCCTTCCAGGCCCACACTCAAATCCTGTTTCATGGGCACTGAACTGTGGTCATTTTGGCATCCCAGCAGGAAGAAGAAGGCCTGAGAAGCAGGAGACCTGGTATGGAGATCCTAGCTCTGCTCACTCACTGCACAAACTGGGGCCAGCCTCACCTCCTCTGACCTATTTCCCGTTAGGTTGGACAGTGGTGACTCTAAGGGTCCTGTCTGCTCTGACATTTCAGGATGTGGATTTCTATTCTATAGTCCTTTCAATAATTATTTTGAAACTTTTTTTTTTAAGATAGAGTCTCACTTTGTCACCCTTGGTAGAGTGCTGTGGTGTCACAGCTCACAGCAACCTCTAACTTCTAGGCTTAGGCGATTCTCTTGCCTCAGCCTCCCCAATAGATGGGACTACAGGCGCTTGCCACAATGCCCAGCTATTTTTGTTGCAGTTTGGCAGGGGCTGGGTTTGAAACTGCCACCCTCTGTATATGGGGCCGGCGCCCTACCCACTGGGCACAGGTGCCACCCTATTTTGAAACTTTTAATTATTTCTGACACAGAGTCTCACGCTGTCACTGAGGCTAGAGTGCAGTGGCATCATCATAGCTTACTGCAGCCAAAAATTCCTGGGTTCAAGTGATCTTCCTCCTCAGCCTTCCAAGTAGCAGGGGCTACAGGTGCCCACCACCATGCCTGGCTAATTTTTTTACTTTTACTAGAGACAGGGTCTTGCTCTTGCTCTGGCGGGTTTTGAACTCCTAATCTCAAGCCATCCTCCGGCCTCAGTCTCCCAGAATGCTAGGATTACACGTGTGAGCCACCATGCCCAAACTTGAAACAATTCTTTAAGTCCAATTTCCCAGATGGCAAAACAGGTCTGTCTGGAAAAGGCCCAGCCCCCAGTCCCTCCCTTCTCCCTTATAAAGCATTTTACTTTCGATAACAAGAGTCCTGGCCTCCACAGGGCTTCCACCACCTCTAGTGGTTCCCAATTGCCTAAGGGTACAGCCTCGAATCTTCAGCCTGGCAGTTAAGATATTCCAGAACTTGTTTTACCCAACCTCATTTTCGACTGGCAGGCCACTCTTCTCACCACCTCCCTCTCCTCACCACCAAGCCTTTACCCAGGCTGTTTTCCGTGCCCTATTACCCTTTCCTAACTCACATCTCTTTTGTGGGCCAACTTACCTGCTCTTTTGTATTTAGACTTTACCTCAGAGCCCGGGACTGTATCTTATCTCCCCCTTTCTTCACACCCCTTCCCCCCAACTGCATACAGTTGGTGCTCAATAAAATTAGCTGTGCGCCTAAGACTCCTTCTCCTATACCGCCCTTGGCATGTCGGACTTCAGACCCGGCCCTGTTTTAGTCGTTGGGATTTTCCTAGGGGCAGCCCAGCCCAGCCCAGGGCCTGGCCAGAGGGACCCTCAGCTTCCAGTGCCAGGACTTGGGAGGGGCTTAGAGACCAGCCAGTAGATCCCCTGTTTACCATAGAAGGAACCCCAGCTTTCTGGTGGACTGACTCTGGCCTCACCACCTACAGGCTGTGTGACCTTGAGCAAGTCACTAAATGCTCTGCCCATCCGTAGGGGGGTGTTGAGGATTAAATATGATAATGCCTGTACAGGTCTTGCACTGGGCCGGCTCCTAGGTGTGTCCTGAATGTTACTCATCGTGGCCAGGCCACTCAGACTCTCCCCTAATGTAAGGCACAGTGGGCTCAAGGCCACGTCTCGGGATGGGGGTGCAATTCTGCAGCCCGGTGGGTGTGTGAGTGTGTGTCAGGGCTGTCACCAAGGATTCTGGCCCCGGCGGTGCAGACCGCGGCGCAGGGTGTGGCTCCGCAGAGCCCATCGGCCTGGCTGGGCTCCGGGTGGGAGAGACCGCGGGAGCGAGCCTGACCCACCCACCCGGCTCGCGGCCTCCCGGTTTCTCTACCCGGAAGGTTTATATGCTTTTGGGGCCCTTCTCGAAACCAGATCGCTAACGTGGATTCAGTGGCGCTTTTCAGGGTGGGGAAGTGACAATGCGCTGCCTGTGCAGCCGCCATCACCGCGCCCCCTCCTCGGTCTCCGCAGTCCCCA